CCGGGCCTGCGCTCTGGGTCTGTTCAGGATCCCGCCGCCTGGGTTGTCTCACTCACTCGCAGGGCCTGCGCTCTGGACCAAATCTTGAGATTAGACAATTGTTAAGGGAACCCTGCAGGATCAATTTTACCTCTAGCCTCTTTATTTTCATAGGTTAAGTCTTGGAAACTTATCAGAACTCACTCCTAAATCCAGGACACACACCTCATGATATTGACTACAAGCTCATCATAAATGCATTTTAATGATGTTTTAAAATTTAAGATATAATGACCTTTATTGCTTCATAGCCTGACCCATTCTTATTGAGGCTTTAATCATTTACAGAGATATCTCTGTATCACTCTTAATTAACCACCCTTACAAATGGTTTTCTGTAACCTAGGAGATCTCAGGACTCATGGAAAGCCTTAAATTTCATTTTTTTTAAACAAAGATGGGAGGATGTTTATTAGTTGCGCATTTATTGCTATTGCATCAACAGACTTGGACTAGTGACAGTGTGTGTCATGGGCTCTGTGTGCTTTTCACCCTGGCTAGTATTGTGATGTTTCTTGGGTTTTGCAGAACACAGCCATGTGGACCAAGACACTGCACTGGCTGGAGTGCAGGGCTTCACGGGCTGCCTTTCTGCGGTGCAGCTCAGCCACGTGGCCCCTCTGAAGGCGGCCCTTCGCCCCAGCCACCCAGCCCCTGTCGCTGTCACGGGGCATGTGATCGAATCCAGCTGTGTGGCACCTGCTGGCACTGATGCCACATCAAGGGAAAGGACACACTCATTTGCAGGTGATTTAAACCTTTTCCTCTTCCCATCCACACTCACCTTGCCATTAGATTGGGAAGCTTGCTACCTTGTTACTATGCTGAATTCTCAAGATGATTTCTTAAAGTTGTTCTGTTTAAACTTGAAGTCTCTTGTGTTTTTTTTTTTTCCAGTTTTAACTTCTTATTCATTGTTTGATTTGAAAATGGTAAAGATCTCATGTTTGCTTCCAGCATTCTGTTTCAGCTTAAAGCATTTATGAATTTTTGCAAATTTCTTCCTTTTGCTAACTCTATCATTTCTGTCCCTTTTTGGGATTTCATTGCAGATCATTCTGGGACGATGGATGACAAGGAGCCCCTCACTAACATAATCAAAAGTGACTCAGCAGTAATTGGAGGTAATAAAATGGGTGGACGAGTTCATCTTTGGTTCCTTGTTATCGTTGCTAGTAACTGCGATATTTAGTTTAATATAAATATTTATGAAGCATCTATTCATATCGCAAGTGCCAAGTACTGGGTTATGAGGATAGTTTCCATGAGACTGTCTTACAGAATCGTCTTGAATTCTTGGCATTGGAAATCTTCAGTATAAATAATTTCCAATTTCACTGAAATATCATACTCAAGGCATAATTGCAAAACTGTAATAATGAATATTAATTTGACCTGAATTGCCCAATTGCAAGCCCTATGGAATTCTGAATATATTTGAGAAAATGTCATTTTTAATTTCTTTTGGTTTGGACATCCGACTGCTTCAGCAAGGACTCATGTGAAATGTAGAAATAATATTAACGTGAGAAGCATATATTTGTGTGCCTTAATGCTTATTAAACTGGGCATTTTCGGCATAATATTCAAATACTTTCAATTGTATTTTTATCAAATATTAGGTTAATGAGCTAAAAGTGGTTAGCAGTAATTTTAAATTGCAGAGTTAACATAAAAACTTTCAAAGTATATCTCTCTAGTAATGTGACAGCATATACTTTGAGATATAATTTATTCAAAACCATTTCTAGAAATAAAACTTTTCTCTTCCTGATTAATGCTCTTAAGAATGTTATTAATCAAATTATTGAAATGCTAAGTGGTTTAGCCTTTTTACACCGTCTGAATATGATATGGACAAAATAAAAAGCAAATAATAATTCTAATACCTTGCCAGATAATGTGGTTATTCGTGTACTTGTGCAACTCTGCTGGGCTATCTACTTGGTGCATTTGATTCTGTTTTTCAGTGTGTCTTATGCATCTCTATTCACCCTGATGTAGATTTTCTTCAAGTAGTTAATATTTTATTCCAACAGTGAATGTTACTTGTCAAATCTCTGTGGCCATCACTACATTTGTTAGCTTTTTTTGTCACTTTGACAAAACATGTCAGACTCACAACCTAGAGGAAGGAAGCTACACTGCACCTTAGCCCACGGTTTTGGAGATTTTGGTGCACTGTTAGCTGGCTCCTTCAGGTGCAGGCCCGGGGAAGGCAAGCCGTCGTGGCGGAAGGCTTTGGCAGAGGGAAGCTACTCATTTCATGGCGACCAGGAAGGAGAGAGAGAAAACTCACTATGGGGACTGTGCTAGCACGTCTTGTCCTTCTTTTCCTTTCGTTCCATTCTGGGTCCCCCTCTTCTGAATGGTGACAGGAGCGCGGTCCCCATGGCTTCTTCCACACTCAGGGCAGCTTCCCCCACCAGCTTGCTGTCCCACGTGCTGATCATCTGCAGAAACGATCAGACTCAGTCTTTTCTGATTTCCTAGGTGTTTCTCAATCCAGTCAAATTGACAATTGAGATTAAGCATCACAATTGTTACTCCTGTTCCTTTAGTTGTTCTCAAATCCATGGTGTGCAAACCAAAGACACATAAAATAGAATTTCAATTAATCACCTGGCAAGCAAAAAAAGCTACCTTTCATAAATAATAGTTACTATAATCTGCACTTTAGTGAAGAATGATAGTCAGTTAGAAATATTGGAAAAATAGTATACAGTAAAAATCTCTTATAGAGCTATAGAATTTACAATGTGCTCAACATTTTAAGTTAGGATTCTTGTCAAATAAAAATGTCACATGATAGTGCTTTTACCATGTATTCTCTTTGTACAGATAGAGGTAGAAATGGATACCAAGATAGGTATAAATATGGAGCACTGTATAGTCGGTCCAACATCACGACAAAATATTAAATTCTTACACTATTGTTTTGGGCAAAGTTCACTTCCAAAATTTACAGAGTTAAGGAGCAAATGTGTTGGAACATCATTCTGATGTTATTCAAAAACAAAAATAAGTTACAGTTCACCCATGAAAATCTTACTTAAATCAAATGCATAGGGCAGAGATAGACAGTATGGAAGGTTTATGCCAAAGGTGTTCACCAGGGACCACGGATCCAGCACTATGTAGTTTCCATCTCTACTGAGACAGAGCCAAGAAGTGGAGCAGCTGACAACAGCCAGCTGAGCTCAGAAAGCCTCATCAGGGTCATGTGCAGTTTATCTACTAAGTCACAGCACATTGTCCTCCAGTGTACCACTCTATCTGGTAGCATGGTGATACCATGCTCACCCACTGTCCAATTACTCATAAATTATACCTTCTATTTAACCACTGCTAATTCATGTAAGCATGTTCCAGACCACTGAATTCCTCCACGCCCATTCTACCTTTTGGATAACTTTTGTCCTTAGAAACAAAATAAGAAGTATAAGATGGGAGAATTGGTGTAATGAGGCATTTGAAGATGGTGACCCAGAGGGACAGCATTTCTGGCCAGCACACTCAGACAGAGACAGACAGATTTAGACAGAGAGAAAATTATGTAATTTCCTCATCAGAACACATTCACAAGGGCCAGCCAAATAGCTAGTAGAATAAAGCGCCTGCAAGCAGGTGCAGGGGCCAGGGTTTCGATCCCTGGGCCTGCTGTGCAGCCTCAACTCCAGGGTGCACTAAGACAGCAATTGAGACTGGGCGTGGTGGCATGTGCCTGTAATCCCAGCTCTTGGGAGACTGTAAACAGGCAGATCACTATGATTGCAATCTAGTACTGAGACCTGAACGCTCTGTAGACCCTTCCTTAAAAACAAAAACAAAAAACAAAGCACATTCACATACTGCTTTGAATGTAACATTACAGAGTATAGGAATGGCCGTATTGTATATAGAATAGTTCTACTTGTATTTTTTAATAACAGGTGAGATCAAAGTTCTTCTTGGACATATACATACTGTCAAAATTGAGCTGAAATTAAAACAGATAAATCACATATATGCAGCAAACAAGTTCAAAGATTTTCATATGAAAAGTGTTTAAGTATGAGGAAATTCTTCAACTCTAGTTGACACAATAGTTTGGCAAATTGTATTTTTCATTTGAAAGCTTGGTTTTGATGATGAGTATCGTATACTATTAGTGTTCTTGAAGTGACAGACTTGATTTATTTTACGTTTTAGATTATGTGCCCATGAAATGCCCACATCCGAATCAGAGTGTGCCTGATAATTTTTCTTTCAAATAAAAATGGTGTTACATGAGGCATGAATGAGCTGATTCAATTCGTAACTCCAATGTTCACACAGTGTTCCTCCTGGGGACACACCTCACCCTTCAGATCATGCCACGTGTACTTCGTGTGTGTTTCCCATTTCAACGCACCAAACATTCAAAAGACTTACCATCAAGGGTCAAGGTTTACTAAAATGAGAAGTTCTTATTGCTGCATGAAGGACTTCCTCAAATGATGATGTGGATTTTGCCTCCTAGCGCAATGTCCTCAGCTTCACAAATCGAAGGACCATGATTTCAGCTTGGTGTCCTTGTCCTATATTGTACTAAGGACTGGGAATTTTACCTGCTTTATTTTCCATAATCAGCAGAAATTTCAGCACAGTGAAAAAGCCACTTTAGAATGATTATGCAATGAGTGTTTCCCCTTGGGATCTTTCCCCAGTGGTCCTGGGTCAGATCACATTGTGAGGACAACAGACCTAATGTAATGCAAGGTTGACTACTGAAGTCATGACTGAGAATTTTAGTACTGAAAAATCATATTTTTTGAAACATGAAATTTCAAAAACTCAATATTTCTCATATAGATATAACTTAAGTACATTTATACATCTATATCTGTGTTTTGCTAGAAATGTTTGTTCTTTTTTTTTTGAAGGAATGTTTGTTCTTATACCTGACATACTTTGATATTCAATACCATAACAAATTAATAAAAATAAACTTTATAAAACTTTTATGTGTTTAATCATAAAAACACATATAAGTCTTTTAAAAAGCATTAAACCTTTTGCTATTTTACTACTCCTCAATGATTTCAAGATAATTAAGTCTTCTCTACATCTTAATATGAAGTAACCACCTTGTCTTAGAATTTGGTAGGTAATACATCGTGTGAGATATAAATATGCAAAGTAGGTCCTCGACAATGTGCATTCAGATTAAACAGAGGTGAATATATAGCAGTCAAAAGTAATCTCAACATATTGTAATACTGTTTGAATAAGAAATACCTAAAGTTTTAACCTGTCCAGCTCATGTGTTAGCAAACGCTTGCTTTGAGTGGAAAACAATTATCTTAGGACTTAGTAAGCAATGAGGTTGACACAGCTCTGTTCTGCTCAGAACTCTGACTTCGTATTTCTTTTCTGCCCTCTCTCTAGGTTTGATAGCTGTTGTGATCTTTATCTTGCTCTGCACCACTGCCATAGCTGTTCGCATTTATCAGCAGAAAAGGTTATACAAAAGAAATGAGGCAAAAAGGTCAGAGAATGTAGACAGCGCTGAAGCCGTTTTGAAAAGCGAGCTTAATATACAAAATGCAGTGAATGAAAATCAGAAAGAGTACTTCTTCTGATCGGCAGCTGCGATCTGACTTAGACTGATGACAGTTTGTTTCAGTAGCCAGGGGCTTTGTGATGGACAAGGACTGCTCTTCGGCTGAGTATGCCGGCGATGGATGTGCACCACTGCTCCCTTGCCCTGTCCAAGCTTGGATGACTCCAGGAGGTCTCATCGAGTGACATACTTCTCATGGCAGTCATTCTGTGTCACAAGGAATTAGATATTGCTGTTAATTTCCAGCTGTTCCAATATGATCCCAAAACCAGTTTAACTTGCTTAGTGACTACAGTTTTTAAATGTGCAAACTGTAGTCCCGGTATTTTAACTGTGAAATATGTAAGTTTTGTTAGAGGTAAAAAGTCAAAATTGGACTATAATGACCTTGCTTTGTTTGAGAACATATGCTGCGTTTGCTATCGTCTTCCCCTGGTGTTGCACACACACCTGGAAATGCTTCTAAGATCCTATTTGGCTGGTGTTTGCATCTTCAGGGGCCCAAGTACATAAAGCCCCTTTGCCTTTCTCTGTATTCCATTCAATACATCAGTAGTCTGGAAAAAATGTTTTGTTGTCTTTGGCTTGTTTGTATTGCTCTTTTTCTATTTGACTCTTCTTAATGATTTCGGATTCATTTGGTTTTGAGTGTCTGATTTTAGCTCTGAACATACAATTCATTTGTAAAAAGCCTCAAAGTGCAGTGGTTGTCCATACGTGATGTCTCACCTTTAAAAGCTTTCTATTTTATTTGTTATCATTGTTGGATGGTGACAGTAATTAAGACCCTGAGTAATTCCAATTACCCAAAGACTGTAAAATGTTTTCAATTAAATGTGTTGATTATACAGAAAAAGCAATTCTTAACACAGCAAAAATTATTTTTTAATTACAACTGTAATACCTCGAATGAAATATACTTCTGAGAATATTTTCCCCAAACCTTATGTCAGTTTTTTTTGTAGATGTATATTTCTGTTTCTCTACAGTTTATCATCAGCTCTACTTTGAAATCCCATAACTATATTTCATGTAGCATCTTCTTATATATTAGAAAAAAGGTAATAAATTGAACTATAGAGCTGTTTCCAATGCTAAAAATTCTAATGTATGATCCTTTCAGGCATGAACTTCCAATATATACTTCTTGAAATATAGCTACAACCATGCCCCTTTTTTCCTGTACAGTCAGTAGCTAATTAAAGGACATTCATTGTTAGAGAAGATAGCATATGATATAGCCTATACTAAATCTCTCCTTTGAGTCACTTGTCTTCTAGGATGATGGAGTTAATTTTTCAGAGAGTACAAACAATCAATGAAATCCACTAACTAATGCATTCTGATTAGAGTGTATAAATACACTGGGAGATTGAGGAGTTATCAATAACCCTATAGAACGGTTACAATAATTAATTCTGAAGCCATGGATACAAGAGACTTGGTTGGAACAATCTATTGTCTATTCCATGAAACAATTAAATGACCAAAGGCACTTTGCTGTTCATGCTGACACCTCCAAGTGCCTCCCAAGAAAAATTAGATTCTTTCGTTGTATATACTAGACAAATTGGAAATATGTACATTCACCATTCCTATCCTCTTCTTTCGTACACTTTCCTTGTTAGCACTTACAAAACTTTTCTGTTTTTTCTTTCCTCATAGCGTTGTATCCCGTATTGATGTTTCTGTAATGCCTGACTAATTTGGGAGGACCTGAATGAGCATAGCAGTTCATGAAGGGACAGTGTTGGTAAATGACATAGATTTTCTTTAAATTGGAAGACCTGAGGTGACAAGGGAAAGATTTAACATAGAAATGGTAGTGCTTGTTCAATGTAAAGATGAATGCAACCATCATTGCAGCTCTGAATCTTTTCCAAGTGCTTCTTTCATTTAGTGGCAGTGTTAACCTGCTCGGTAGCTAGAATGTAGAAGGTCTGCAGATGGTGACACTGTGCAGTCCTCTGTGCTTTGCATTGCTGGAGGCTGCCGCATTTTGATAACAAAATGCATTGAAATGTTATAGACCATGGTTTTGATTTGCTGATTTGTAATGGACTCCTCTCTTTTTTCTTAATAAAATGCATTTTTGAAATGAAATGCAAAATATATTTTAAGAGCTGTTGTATAAAAGCTTAACATGAGGGAATTATCATAGATTTCTTTTCCTTACAATAGTGAAAAGGTGTATAGATACATATTTTCTTTAGTGGTGCGTGCATGTGTGCGTGCGTGCGTGCGTGCGTGTGTGTGTGTGTGTGTGCACTCATGCATGTGTGGGCACATGCCTGTACCTATGTGTGTTTAATCTTTTTGAAAGATTCAGTGATTATTGTGACCCATTTTAAAATGCTACTGTTATATAGTTTTCCTTCTAAATGGACCAAAAACATGAAAGAAAAATAGAAAAATGTTTGCTGATTGTAATGAGCAAAGTCAAGTTACAGTAGATTTAAAGTTTTGCCAGAGAACAATGACATGGCCATCAGCAATTGTTTGTGGCAAGGTTACTATGTATTTAAATTACATGATGTCTTTTTCTTTTCATTTGTTCTGTAGTGATCTTGGCCAGTGAATACAGTGTAAATACACAAATGTCATAGGAAAGTATGTTGGGACTTTCTATATTTTAAAACTGAAAAGAAAAAGCTTTTTGTGATTTCAAAAGAAGGAATGAAGATGATGTATAATTAGCATTCTCATTGTAAGGAGACTAGACTGCCAAAGTCTCATTAAATTAAGATGTACACTATGTAAATAGAATGCAGTTAATGTGACACTGAAGGTGTACCTACGTGAGGTGGGGGTGACTGGTGGAAACGACATTTTAATTTTATAGGAGTTAGACCATTCAAATGGCCCTTATCCACCCTAGATAAGAGCTTCTTTTTAAATTAATTCCCAAGAGCTGTGCTTTAAACCACATTTATTATATTCTTTAGATGTCAGCTAAAAAAAAAACCCACTATCATGAGTAACCAGACAACCACCAAGGAGAAGCTGATCATTTGTAATTATCTTCCATTAGATGGTATTGTCTTTTAGGATAACAAAATCACAGAATTCCCTTGTGAGATTGGAGAGTATGGAACTCCTGATTGGACAGTGAAGTTTAACAGATAAGATCCACATAAGTGAGGTTCTCAAGTGATGTCATGGTAACAATAACTGTGCGTGTGTGGTGTGTGCATGTGTGGTGTGTGTGTGTGTATGTGTGTGTGTGTGTGTGTGTTGAAGCTGTGATCTCAGCGTCTTTTTTTACTGTGCATAGTGCTGACTTTGGTGTTTCCAAAATCTGAGATTTTAACATATATTTGGTGGCATAGAAAAAACTAAAGAATCTTCACAGTCTTCTTGTCCAGTATGATCTATGGTTCTAGATCATACCTATTATCCAATTTATATGAATATTGACCTCTATTTCATCAATCATTGGCCTTGATAGAAGTTTTTGTTGTTGTTTTTGAAAACTGTTTAGTGAGTTTATGGTCATGGGTTCCAGGAATGACAATTCTCTCTAAAGTACTTTTGTGAAATCTGCAAGAGCTTGCATGAGTTGTAAAATGTTCCCCACCGGGTAGAAGGATGAATTGGACACCTTCTACATCATAGCATGCCTAGTTGATGTTTGGCTTTCAAACTTATGTATCAACTAAATGATAATTGTACTAGATGTCTTCAATATATTCTTCAGTTCTTCAAAGTCTGGGTGATGCAGAGTAGTAAGTAGGAAGGAAAAGATCAGAAGCCAAGTGTCTATATATTCAGAGTGTGTGTGGGTGAACACATTTATGTATCTAAGAAGGAAAATCAAATGAAGATAGAAGGAACATGCTACAGCTTGAATATAAAATGGTAAGAAGTCTGGATTTTTAGTATATCAATAGCTTCTGTGAACCTTGTTTTTGAAGCTTAGCAAACAAAAATAACCCTGATCCAAAATTATAATGGCTTTTCTAGTGTAATTAAAAAATCCTTTTGCATTTTTAATATCATGCTTACTGTTTTATAAAAAATACATGATTGTACCTTAAAAAATCAGATATCTTAACAAATCTTAGCAGAAGGAATAGGTCTCTGTTGCGCTTTCCCATCACTACCAGTTTCAACCCTTCAGCTTGTCTCTTCTGAGTTGCTTCTATGTTTATCCATAATAAGATGCTGCAGGTTGGACTCCCTGGAAAGCAAACTCTGAACAGAAAGTGTGACACACTAGAAGTTTGTAAGGGAGTGCTGTGCAACCTTTATGGGAGAAAGGATAGGGGAGGATGGAGGAGGTGGACCTACAGTGCCATCATGACAGGCATCAGCTGGTTCTGCTGGAATGACCCTCTAGAGATGTTCTGAGTCTGGGTGGAGGGAATGAACAGTTATACTCCTAATAAACCAAGCAGTGGATATTGGCTACCTGACTACATGGGAAGAACTTGGACCAGTAGCTCTTTTCAGCTTACTCAGTTCTTGGAAATTGAGAACAAGCTTGCCTGAGAACTAGGGAGAATGCATAGTTCAGTCCTGAAACACAGTTCTGGGTGACACAGCACAGTGACCCTGAAGCTCTCTGCTGTCTTCTCAGCTCTATCTGCTTCAGATGTGTTTTGAAAATACCTCCATTAGGCCTCTGAAGAGCCACTTCCTGGAGCCTTACTTGAGGAAGAGTATGGAATAAACCCCAGGTTCTACCCTACAGGTGGGTTCTTGGCTACTCATTCTCTCCTTCCTGTACCATCCAAATCAAGTTCCCACAGCTCAGCTGAAGCTCATTATAAAGAGCTTGAGCCTTTGATATCTTCTGTAGGGTTATCAAGTCATAGTTGTTGCACTATTTTATTATTAAAGTTGATAAAAATAACTATCCGCCAAATGTATGCCCCTGGCCATGTGGTATAATACCAATTGTTTCACTTATTGGTGATTAAGTGGCAATTTCCCCTAAGATAGCCTCTTGTAAAACATTGCCTTACCTGGGGGTACACATTACAGCAAAGAGTGAGAGTGGCACATTACTATGACACC